CAGGCGCGGCAGGGGCGCCCTCGGGGAGAAGTCTCGGTGCAGGCTCTGCAGACGCAGCGCCGCCAGGGCGCGCAGCGTGTCGTCGGGCGGGGGCGGCCGGCCGCGCAGCAGCAGAGCGTGAGCCTAGGAGGAGGCACTGGGTGTCAGCGCGGGAGGGGCGGCGAACAGCCCCGGGCGTGCAAAATCTGAGGTCTGGGTCCGAATAAAGCCTCCCGCGAGGTTGCCATAACTGTTAAATGTGACGGCTCGGAAAGCGAGGGGTTCAGTCCGGGGGGGTCTTTGGGGGGGATGTGAATGCCGGAGATGCTCACCTGCTCAAAGAGGAAAGGCAGTTCGTGACCGTCTGGGGACAGCCCCTCAGGGTGCAGGGGCCCGTGAAGACGCAGACATAGTCTCCAACCAGAGTCCGGCGAGTCGTCTAGCGCGGCTTCCTCCGCCGCCAAACTGCAGAAGAGATGAGGACTGGATGCCAGGCAGAAGCGGGACCCCCTCTAAGGCGCTGGACACCGCTGGCGGGGGTGGGGGGAGGAGCGCGACCATGCTGGGGGCGGGGCCAGATGTTTGGGACGCCTGGAAACCCGACAGCAAACCGCCCGCGGGCAGGGCCCCTCTGTGAACCAGCAAACGTGACTGTGCAGGGCAAGTGGCCAGCGCTCGGAAAACGTTTGCACGGGGATTGACCGGAGCTGAGAGGCAGATGGGTTAACGGAGAGCGGGGCTGGGGCTGGACATTTACTTCTCAAACCTGGTGAGCACGTCGGCCATGAGAGTACCCCCAGCCAGGGCTCGCTCCTGGGCTCCTCGCTGCTCGTACAGCGCGAATGCGTTGCGGCTCCGGGCCAAGCCCAGCCGCCCCACCAGCTCTCGAGCAACCTGGGTCGGAGGAGGAATGGGAGGAAAGTCAGGCCGCGCCGGGGTCTCGCCAACTGGAGAGCTCTTTCAGGTCTCCCGGTCCTGACACCCCTCCTCCCCCCCCCCCTTACGCAAATGATGCATCTCAGACTTGGGCAAACCTAGAGCCCAGGCATCAGGACAGCTGGGCATGGGAAGCTGGGAGGAGGGGTTGAGGTTTCAGGGGTCTTTTCTGGCCTTACCTCGCCCGCCGTGGTGTGGGAGTCTATGGCCACAGGGCAGGCACCAGCCCCCGGACAGTGCACGGTGCATAAGAGCTCCTGCCGTCGGCTCAGCGCTGAAATCTCTGCCAGCGAAGGCACCAGCTCCCGGCCGCGCGTCCGGCCCAGCGCTTTCCTGATGAAGCGCGCGTAGGCCGCCAGTTCTGTGTCCGGGAGCGCCTGCTCCGTCCTGGGTTAGGGAAGACCCGAGGGTCAGTGCCCAGAGGGCTTTCCTTCTCCCTCTCCCTCTCGCCTTCTTATCGTCTCATTTCTTTCCTCTCATGGATTCCCTCCCTTCCAACTCAAGTTGCTTGAAGGTAGCCACCAGCTCTCTTCTGAATCTACCCTTGGAGCACTGCATGGAGCTGAATTACTTTCAAAGGCCCTGACAGCTCTCTCCGAACCTCCCCCTCCCACTTGCCAAAGTCTCCCTGATCCTCCTTCGAGATGAAATCCAAAATCCAGTCCCATTCCACTCTGCAACCTAAAAGCCCTGGCTGGACTGCCTCAGCCCGGAGGAAAAGCAGCCCTTAGTAATTCCTCTTGCCCAAAGGGGGGCGCCTCTTGTAATTCCTCCGCCCGAAAGTGGGATATGATCTTGTCGCTCCCACAAAGACGCTGTACATATTAGCAGCGGTCAAGTCTCTTCCCTTCTTTGGCTGGAAGTTCTCCACCCGCCAATTTGGCAAGGCCTGTCATTCTCTCCCAGCCCTGTAGCTCCCTCCCCGGCCCTCCCCCTCACCTCTCCAGATGCCCCAGGAGGTGCCCCCGCACAGCTCCCCCGGGCCGGAAGGTGCAGCTCATGCAGGTGAGGAGCTGCCAGTACCGAAGGGCCGCGGGGTCTTGGGTAGCTGGGGGCCCGGGGGGCCCTGCGGGGCCCGAGGTCTGCTTAGCCAGCTGCAGGAAGAGCTCGTCGCGGAGCGCGGGCAGGTCCCGGCAGGTTTGGAGCACACCCTGCATCAGGGGCCCGGGGCGCCGCGCCCCCTCCAGCGCCTGCAGCGCCAGGAACAGCCGCACCGCCTCCTCGCGCAAGGGTGCGTAGCCCGGACCTGCGGGAGGGTGGGGGCGGAGGGACGGTTTGGAGAGGGGACACAGAGCTGGGCCCTGGAAGGAAGGCATGAACCGGGGAAAGGTCAGAGGGAGTGTAAGGGGACAGGGGGTGGCAAGGAGGGGAGAGTGCGAACGACAGGAAGAGTGAAGGGAAAGCAGTGGTCCCCACAGAGCCTCCCAGGCCCCTCCCCGTCCGGAGCCCCTAAGGCTGCACTCTGAGTTAGGGAGCTACAGGGGTTGACTAAAGGACACAGGTTCAAACCCCAGATTCTGTAATTGGGCACTAAGAGCCATCACCATGGGCCAGAAAACAGGCTGGACCAGGAGTCGGGAAACAAGGGTTCTTCTCCCAGCTCCCCTTAATCTTCTAGTTTTAGAACCGGGACTGGTCACTATTCATTTTTGGGAAGAGATATAGCTGGATGAGGCCAGCACATTCTCCCAAAGTGCTGGCTTTTCCAGCACTTGTAAACATAGTATGACAGGGGCTCACGAGTATAATGAAAAAATAGAGTGTAAAAACTCATGAAGGAGTATCGGTAGTCAGACTGAGACCCACAGAGAAGGTGGTCAAAGGGGGCCTTTTTTCCTGTGCTGGCTTCCCTCTCCTCCACCCTGGGTATCAGTCTGGTCAGCTTCCATTCTCAGCCCTTTGAAAAGTGAGGGGCTGGGCCCCTTTTGGACTTCTAAGTCCTTGTCAAGTGAGGCATTCAGATTCCCCGGCCGAGGGACTGGAGCCATGTCACCACTCACCTGGGGCGCTGACACCGTAGGGCAGGGGCAGGAGTGGAGCATACAAGGCCCCACTGGTGTGCCTCAGAATTGGGTTCCGTAGGTAAATAAGGGCCACGGTCTCCGGGTCCCCACAACTCTCCTAGAAGCCAGGGAAGGGAGTCACAGGGATGGAAAAAGGGGCTCCCCATGAACTCAGAAAGCTTCTGGGTCCACCACCCTCCTCTTTCTCCATGAAGTCCCCTCTTTCACACCTGAATATCTCTAAGCAGCAGCTGGGTAGGGGTCTCCAGCGGCGCCTTGGAGGCGATCACTTCTCGCAGCGCCACCCCCCAGCGTTCGGCCTCGGCCTGGCGGGGGGAGCAGAGCCGGACGCTGTGCTTCCGGCCCGACACGGTCACTGACCACAGACCTGGGAAAAAGAGGCGGTGGAGGGCAATCAGGACCGGCTGGGGCCGATGCGCAGGGAGGTACAAGAATCCCCACGAAGTCTCACCGGTCTCCTTGGGACGGCGCTCTGGGCCGGTCACCGAGCACAAGCTGGTGAGCACGAGGCTCCCGAGGCGCCGCGCCCCCTTCCCGCTGCTACTGAACTGGTCCAGGGAGTCCCGGGTGAGCACGAACCAGGCCCGGCGCGGGGGCAACCAGGGCCGAGCTCCTCCTCCGCGGGGCTCTCTGTACAGCCAACCTGGGGGGAGGGGAGGGAGAAAAAGGGGGGTGAGCAGGAGAAGACGTTATCCCCTGGAGGGTTGGGATTGAGACTTCCAGGGTGCATAAGGTGGGTCCCCACCTTTCACGACGACGTCCGGGTCCTCCTCAGGCGGCCCCTTCTCCGGGATGAGGCTCCGTGTCTCCTCCCAGCTCTGCAGCCTGGGCCAGAGGGGAGGGAGGGTTGGGCGAGGCTGTCGGTCCCGCACCCCGCCTCCAGGGGGCTCCTCAGTCGGGGCTCCCCAGACCGCGAGGGGAGCCTGCTCCTGTCCTGGACACCCCTCCCCCAGGCTGTGGGAACCGCTGGGCCGTTCTGACCTCGCACCAGAAATAGCCCAGACCCCCCCTTTCTCCCCGCGCCCCCAGTCGGACCGCCCCCCCGGGACCCCGGCCAAACCACAGCGTCCGGCGTAAGGCCTCTCCCTTATTGCACAACTGCGGGAGGGAAGACGGCGAGGATTGGGGTCCCGGGAACAGGCTGGGGGCTTCATACCCTGAGACGCAGGGGCCGAGCTCACCTGTCTGAGACCGGCCCGCTCCTCACCGGCTGAGTGAGCGTCACGTCCAGGGGGCCCTGGGGAAACAGGCGGGGGCAGCCCTCAGGATCACAGCCGTCAGCGGAGGATGCCCGTGGCTTCTGCCCCCCGGACAGCGCTGCTCAGGGAATTGAGGGATCAAGGAGTGGGGTCGTGACTGTGAGGGAGAGAGCTGAAGCCAGGAGGTAGCCCCTTCTGCCAATCTCTACAGAACAGCCCCAGCTAAGAAGTCAAGGCTCCCGCCTTGTCTCTGTTTCCCTTTGAAGATTTAAATCAGGGCTGGATACGGTGGAAAGAGCACTGTGCAGGGAGTCCAGTCCGGAGACCTGGGTTCTAGTAACAGTCTGACCACTAACTCGAACCACTAACTGGCTGTGGAACCTTCACAGATCCTCTCAGTCTTTGGGCCCTAGCTTCCCCATCTTCAAAAAGAGAGAGGTGGATGGAGCTCCTTCTTGTTGGGAGTCACCCCCTCCTCCTCATTTTCCCTTCATTAGCTGGCAGACAGGCAGGTGGTGGGCACAGAGGTGGATGAAGGGAAGAGGGACTCCTTCAGTGTATGGCTTTCTCCAAGAACATCTTATGCCCTCCCACAGACACCCCTGAAACTCAACGGTAAGCAGAGACCCTCCCCCTTTGCTCGGGCTCAGGAAGGGCAGGCTGAAAAATGGCACACACTCTCCAGGGGAGGTACCGTTCAGGATTTTGCCCTTCTCCCCCCTGCCCTGGAACTTCAACAGGAGACTGGGGTCTGAGAGAGTCCAAAAACCCGTCCAGGAGCCAGGTCAGGCAGGAACTGTGCCATGGTCCCATTGCACCCAGACTGTTAAAGCCAGGACGGGGAGGTGGGGGAGGGGGGACAGGGACACCTGTCCCCAAGCTCGGGGGAGGGGGGTGGAGGTGGAGCATGAGGGAGGCAATGACGTGGTTCACAGAGCCGGTCCTGCACAGGCTGGAAGCTTGGGGACGCCTGGGTCCTGTGCCTTCCTGGGACGCAGATCCACCTCTTTTCTGGGGGGGTCCAAGAGGAGTTCTCAGCCACACCACCGCGGGGGCAGGTGCTGACCACTCTCTTAGACCAAGTCTCCTAATCGCAGTCCCCTGCTTCCCTCCCTCCACCCCCCTCTATATTTATCCGCCCTCCGCCTCCGCCAGGTGCTGGCGCCGGCCCCAGCGGCGCAGCCCGCCCCACCCGGGCACCGAGCCACCGGGCCTGCTGGGGACCCCTGAGCGGGGGATGGGAGCCTGACCCAGGCCATAGCACACGGGAGTCTGGTTGCGGGTGTGCAGGGGAATCCGGGAGGGGACCTCAGGGGATGGAGGTCTTCCAGACCAATCGAGCCTCAGTTTCCCCACGGGGAGATTCCACAAAACCGGGGAGCCAAGTGTCCCTCACCATCCCCTCAGGGATTCCCCAGGAGCCTCACCAGGGAGGGCTGAGAGTTCTGTCTTGAGTGGCAGGGTAATGACGAGGGGTCCTCGAAGAGTCGTGGCCCCCAGCTCCCTCTCCGTGGGGTCCCTGCCACGGACCCCAATCTGAGGATGCCTTCTCCCCCTCTCCCAGGTCCCCGCGGCGGGAGCTCCGGCATCTGGCCCCAGCACTCAGCGCTCACGAACTGGGAGCGGAGCGGACCCAGGCGTCCGAGCCGCCCAGCCGGCCTCGCCACATTCCTCGGCGCTGGCGGAGGCGGAAGGAGACGGGATGGGACGCGGGCCCGGCGGGGAAGGGAGAGGCAGGGCCAGGTCGCGCCACGCGTGACGCCTCCCCTGCCTCGGGGCCCCTAGCAGGTGGACAGCGCCCAGCATGTGGCGCGAGGCCCACAGGCACATCCCGAGTAGGGCTGCTCCTTGAGCTCCCGGGGGCTCCTGGCCCCCCAGGCAAAAACCTCTCCCACGTCCCCGTCCGCCAAGAGCACGGCGTTTGGCTGGAGTCTGGAGCAGGATCAGACGTGACGGCCGCTCGTAGTGAGAGAGATTGAGACAAGGCTCCAAACCCCCAGGGACTTACCCTCCCGCCGCCCGCTGGACTCGGGGTCCGCAGCTCAAAGGTCTCCTCGTCCTCGTCCTCGTCCCCGTCCCCGCTAAGCTCGCCGTCCCCGTAGTCCCGGTGCAGAAGAGTAAAGCCTCGACGGCAGCAGAGGAGCCACCACAATCCCCCGGGGAGAGGCATCCGGGCGAGCAGCCGGGGGATGGGGGCGCGGGCAGCCGGGCCGAGCTGCAGGGGGTCGGAGAAACTGGCGGGGCTCCGACCCCAGCGGGGGAATGATGCGGCGGGAGGAGGGGAAGGGAGAGGGGGACAAGGAGGAGGCAGTGTCGGCGCTAGGGTGCAAGGGGTCGCTTGCTAAGAGCCTGCGGGGGGCTCCGGGTCTGGGCCCCCGGAGGGGGAGGGGGAAAGAGTCCAGGGCTGGGGGGGGTGGGCAGCAATGTCCGGAGCTGGGAAGTAGTGTCCGTTGTAGTGTCCAGCCCTGTGGGGGGCAGTGTCCGGTGCAATGTCCGAGGTGGGCAGTTGTCCAAGCTCCAGGGAGGGTCGTGTCCGGTAGGGTGTCCGGTGGCCGGGGCCCGGGCCGCGCGCGCTGCGCTCCCTGCAGCCCCGGGACTGGCGCGCTAGGGGCGCGAGCACAGCGCCGGGACCCCGCCTCCCCAACCCCCTCCCCTCTGAGGCCCCCCCCACCTTTCCCTCTTCTTTCTCTCCTCCCTTCTTTACAGGGCAGGGTGCAGTTTTCGTCACAGCCTCCCCTGCCCAATCCCTGTGCCTGGCGCCGGGCGCGGCCACCAATCAGGCCACTGAAACCGCGGCGGGTTGCATCATGTGCCCCTGGCTTGGTGACAGCGGGGAGGAGCAGAGGAATAAGGAGGGAGGGGGCGGTGCGATGTCAGCCACGCCCCCGTCCCTGAGGTCGGACGCGGAGTGCTAGTGATGTCACGGAAGCCCGCCTTCATGCCCTTGTTTTAACTCTTGGCTCACCAACCACCAGATTAAAACCCTCTGGAGACGGAGCTTTGGAGAACGAAGGGCATAGGGCATAGAGGAAGGCCCCGACTGCTGCTCTCTCAACTCCTGTCTCGTCTCAGAGTCCCTGAGAAAGGAAAGATCTTCAGCTGCCTGCGCCAGGCACAGCTCTAGAGGCGGCCCTCCGTCCCTGGATGGAGTAGTCCAATTTTTTGGTCTGAGTCACCTCCTTTTTAAGGTGAAGATGCTGGGGCAGAGACTCGGGGAAGTGCAGACCCAGGTCGGAAATAAAACCTAATTTTGAGCGCACAGCTCACTGAACTCTAGTGGGGAGAGTGATTTAAGATTCAAGGGAATTCTGCGGTCTTGGAATAGAGTGGAGGCCTCTCAGGGTGAATAGCCTGAGGTTCTGTGTCAGAAGGGGTTAAGCGAGCCGCTAAAAGGACGGGGCGGGGCCGGGCCGCGGACGGGGCGGGGCCAGGGCGGTCGCGGGCGCGCGCGTGCGTTGCTGACTCAGCGGCTATTCCCGCGGTCTCCGGTGGAGGGTTCCAGGTTGGCCCCCCGTGGCTGGCTTGTAGGACCTTTGGGAGATCAGCGCCATCTCCGGGCCTTCCCCGGATCCTGTCTTCTGGTGGCGGTGGCTTTCGGTCTCAGCCGCCGGAGGCTCTAGGAAGGAAGGCTTGCCCGATCTGGGCGGGGCGGGACAGGGCGGGGACGTCGGGCCAGCGCCTCCCTTGAGACCTCCTCGCCACGCCACGCCCTTCTTGCCCCGGATCCCCGCACTCCAGGCTGGAGTGGTCGGGGCAGCTTTGCTGACCGGATATTAAACTGCGAGAGTTGTCGCACGTGAACACCATCCTGCCTACCGTGCTCGTGTAAAACAAAGACCAGGCATCAATGCGACCGTCTCTAGAGGCATCCCGGCCTTGCCCTCGCCCCAGATGACAGTGGCCAGCACTGAGATTTCCTGGAGATGGAGACGTTCGAACCATATACTCTCTTCCCTGTCTGGATCCCAGGCCCTTGCCTGCAGGAAAGTTCTTTCCGATGTCTAACCTCTCTCTTTCCGGCAGGCTCAGTGCATTTCCTCTGACCCTGTCCCCAGGGAAGATGGAGAACGGCAGTCATCCCCAACCCCACCACGCCCATGATAACGACTCTGGAAATTTTCAAATTGGAACCCTCTCCTTGGTTTTTCTCCAAGGTGAAAAACTCCGACTCAACTTTTTCAATTACCTTTTTCTTTTTTTCTTTCCGCCACAGAACCTCAGAAGGGACCTTAAAGTGGTAATCTAATCCAAGAGCCTACCCCAAACGGGAATCTCCTGGCCACTGTCCCTGCCTACCACCACACCACGCACAGGCACACACAGTTCCCAACAGCCTTGGCCTGAATATTCCGGAGGCCAGGAACTCGGTACTTGCTAAGGCAGCCATTACTGGATAGCACTGTGGTTGTTAGAAAGCTCTTCCTTGTGCTACTTTAAGAGGAACCCCAGCCCTCCTCGTCTGGCAGCTTTCCCACCTCACATCTTGTTCGCAGAGACCAGGTGAAGGTGGAGGGGGTGACAGTGCCTAGAGCTTCAGCAGACTCAGCAGCTCTGCACCCCCACCCAGACTCTCAGCGCCTTCCACTCACAGCCAAGCGAGTTGAAGGGGGAGGCGGAACCCACCGGTTCCAAGTCGGTGACTCAAAAATAGTAACAGTTGTTGGGTTGCATCTCATTTCCATGTTATCAATTTAATGTGGCAAAGTACAGAAGCAATTCCTTTAGGTCCCTACCTCCTTCTCAGTGTTCCCCCACCTACTCCCTTTTCCCACTACCCTCCCTGGAATCCCGCCCTCC